CAGGGCTCTTTGGGGGTGTTTTCACTGCTGGGGGGGCACTGGGAGCTGGGGTGGCTGGAGCAGGGCTCTTGGGAGATGCTGGGGCAGGAGCAGGAGGCGTTTTGGCCTCAGCAGGGGTAGTTTTGGCAGGGCTCTTTGGGGGTGTTTTGGCTTCAGCAGGGGCTGGAGTAGCTTTGGCAGGGCTCTTTGGGGGTGTTTTGGCCTCAGCAGGGGCTGGAGTAGCTTTGGCAGGGCTCTTTGGGGGTGTTTTGGCCTCAGCAGGGGCTGGAGTAGCTTTGGCAGGGCTCTTTGGGGGTGCCTTAGCCTCAGGAGAGGTTGCTGGAGCTGGGGTGGCTTTGGCAGGGCTCTTTGGGGGTGTTTTGGCCTCAACAGGGGCTGGGGTAGCTTTGGCAGGGCTCTTTGGGGGTGTTTTGGCTGCTGGAGGGGCAGCTGGAGCTGGGGTGGCTGTAACGGGGCTTTCTGGGGGTGCTTTGGCCTCGGCAGAGGCTGGGGTGGCTTTGGCAGGACTTTTTGGGGGTGCCTTGTCCTCAGTGGGGGTGGGGGGAGCTGGGGTAGCTTTGGCAGGGTTCTTTGGGGGTGCTTTGGCTTCAGCAGGGGCTGGGGTGGCTTTGGCAGGGCTTGCTGGGGGTACCTTAGTCTCAGGAGAGGCTGCTGGAGCTGGGGTGGCTTTGGCAGGGCTCTTTGGGGGTGCTTTGTCCTCAGTGGGGGTGGCTGGAGCTGGGGTGGCTTTGGCAGGGCTCTTTGGGGGTGTTTTGTCCTCAGTGGGGGTGGCTGGAGCTGGGGTGGCTTTGGCAGGGCTCTTTGGGGGTGTTTTGGCTGCTGGAGCTGGTGGAGCTGCAGGAGCTGGGGTGGCAGAGGATGGGGGAGCAGCAGCTGGGCTCTTGGGAGCTGTTTTAGCTGCAGGTGGGGTGGCTGGAGCTGGGGCAGGGGGGGTTGGAGTGGCAGCTGGGGCAGCAACAGAGCCCTTGGCAGCATCTTTGGCTGAGGGAAGAGCAGCTGGAGAGGCTGGGGCTGCCATGGTCGGTGTGCCAGGGACACAGGGGGCAGTGACCGGGCTCCCAGGAGCTGCTTTGGCCACTGGAGTGGCGACAGGGGCAGCAGGAGATGTTTTAGCCACAGGAGAGGCAGCCAGAGGTGCCATGGGAGGTGTGACAGGGACAGAGGGGGCAGCTGGAGCGGTGACCGGGCTCCCAGGAGCTGCTTTGGCCACAGGAGGGGCGGCTGGAGCTGCCATGGCAGGGGTGACAGGAGGAGAGGGGGCAGCAGCTGGACTTGGAGGAGCCGGTTTGGCCACAGGAGCTGCCATGGCCGGGGTGACAGTGGGGCAGCTGGCAGAGGGGACAGCAGGCACAGGAGCTGCTGCTGGGAACACGGGGCTCGCTGGAGGCCCTGGGACAGAGGTGGCAGCTCCCACAGCGAGTGTGGACAGGGCAGGAGCCACAGGAGGGGCTGGGCTCCCAGGAGGGGTCCTGGCTACTGAGGGAGGCACTGGGTGTCCCACAGCTGGGACCAGTGGGGCAGGGCCCGTGGGAGAGGCCTTGGTAATAGAAGGAGCAACTGGGAGCAGTGGTGAGACTGGGGCACCAGGGGCTGGGCCAGCAGGATGCCCAGGGGACATCCCGGCTGGCAGCAGAGGGATAGGGGGTGACAAGGGAGCTTTGGGGGCAGCCAGGAAGATGGGGGGAGAGATGGCACCGACCAGGGCTGGAGCTGGGGCTCTGGGAGAGGCTGGAACAGCAGGAATTCCAGGAGACACCGGGACTGTGGGAAGTGGGGGTGATCCCGGACTCTGGGGGGACACTGCCACAGTGGGAGCAGGCAGCAATGTGGGAGGCACTGGTGGGGGAGATGCCAGGAGGGGACGGGATGGGGGCGGTAGGAGAGGGGCTGGGGCTGCTCCAGAGGCAGGGAGAGGGGCTGGGGCTGCTCCAGAGGCAGGGAGA